CACCCCACTGGCCACTGACATAAATATGCAATCTTTATGTGTGTGTTACAATCCCATTGGCCACCTGCGTGTGGCCAGGCTTGATCACATGGATTCTGCCTTTAAAAACCCTAGCTTGTGGGCTATTCAGGGTCACACTTTCAGCTCCTGAGTCTGTGCTGTGTCCCTGGCCGGTCAGCTATCCACTTCCCCAATAAAGTCATCTTTTTACACGAGGCTGTCTCTGAGTGGTGGACTCTCTTCTCCATAACAATAATATCTACTGATATATTGCCATAGTACATGAACTAAAGCTAGACTGAACTAGAGCTAGACTTGAGGGAGTATACTCAGTGTGAGAGATCATCCAAATATCTTCCACTTTCACCAGTTTCGCCTCTTAAAGTATCATTGAATTGCCCATCCCAAAAGGACGATTAATCAATCAATAAACACAAGTTATATTACTACTTCTGATGAGAAACGGCCAGAACTGGTGTTATTTGGACAAGTCAAATACAGCAGTTCATTATCCAACATATGCTATACTGAGGCATAAATAATTGGGAAATAAGACTTAATAGCCTGAAATTTCATAGGTTCTTGGTTTCTGGGTTTTGTTCAGAGATAGATGAAGATGTATAGACTGCATCCAAGAACCACAAGCAAATATGTTTTCTACTGTCATGAACTTTCCTTACAATAGTTTAGGTAACTGTCTGTCTCATGGAAATGACTATTTTACTTTTTATTTACACTGAGCAAAAGCAAAGTGAGTAGTTTTATTTACTACTGATAAAAAATTTGTTATGAAATGTAGTCACAAAATATTGCTTATAATGTGTATAAAATTCTCCAGTAACACTAGGGAATCTGAAGATTTCAGGAGTCCAGCAAGTAGCACTGAAATGCCAGGAGCTATGGTATGTGTGTGTGTGGTGAGAATTGCTGCATGCAGGATCTAAATTTAGGTCCCATTTGACAGTATGCTGTATTAATTCTGGAAGATTCTTTTGTGTCTCACAGAGGCAGATGTATCTTGTTCTGTATCCTGATCAAGCCAAGGAAGACAATAGCATCACAGCTGCCTTCTAGTTAACACAGCGTTTTGAAAATTCATATTTCTTCTTAATGGGAGGGAAAAAAATCGGAAGTAACCTCAATTTGGGAGAAGGCAACTAGCAGTTGTAGACAGATGCCAGTGGCTCCTGACTATAATCCTACCTACTCTGGTGGCTGAAATCTGAGGATTATAGTTCAAAGCCAAACTGGGCAAGAAAGTCCTTGAGATGCTTATTTCCAACTAACCACAAATAGCTAAAAGTGGAGCTGTAGCTCAAGTACCAGAGCGATAGCCTTGAGCACAAAAGCTCAGGAACAATGCCCAGGCAGAGTTTAAGCCCCAGGAAGATGGGCAAGAGAGAGAGGAAAATAGCTCCTTAGAGATATTATATATTCTAATTAAATATAGATATATGTATCTTGCATATATTAAATATAGATATGTGCAAATATGCATATATTATATATGTATGTAGATATTATATACATAATATATTTAGACAACACTAACATACATACACACACAAATTTACACACATACACATAGTTTTAGAAGGAATAGTTATAAAGGATTTGTGCTAGCATATTTAATTAAAAAATTATAATTGTCTTCATAGAAGACTATGACTCATAACTGAGTCATTCATATATTATGTCAATGATATTTAATGACAGCATTATTTGCAAGGTCCTTTTAAAGCTGGTAAGCTGAAGAACTAAACAATTAAACCCTTCATTTAAAAATTATATTGATCTGGAATACTGTGTTGATAATTGCTCATCTGATACTTCTACTCACCTAAATACCTCAAAAGTTATCCTCAAAGGATAACAGACTATGGATTTTTCCCCAAACTGGACAATCTTTTAATATGGTAAAGTAGGACATTCTTTCATTTTCAAATAAATCCCATAATAAAATTTTTTCTTTCTTTCTTTGAGGTAACAGTCTTCCCATTGTCAAAGTACTTCTTGGCAAACCTGTATTTGCAATTTCAGATTATACGGATCTCAAATAAAAATCAAATTTTTTATTCTTAAATCAGAAAGCTAACAGCCATCAGGTGTTAGCAATATTTTCATTCATAAAATAATATTGATCATTGATGCATTCTAACATAAGCTATGCCAATCTTTGGAAATCATGGCATCTGATTCCAGAATATTTGCAATATGAAGGAAAGTTATGAAATCTACATCAGGGCCTCTACATGTGATCTCTAACAAATCTTTTTTGTACTTTGCCTAGTAAGTGCATTTGGAAATTTCAGAATTTATGAAGATGTGAAGTTAAAATTCCAAAACAGAAGAAAAATGTTGAAAGATCTTTCTAAATCTAATAATCACCATTTTTAACATTTCTCTGAGCAAATTTATGTCATAACTTTGTGTCTCCTCTGCTTCCACTCCACTATTTATCATTTGATTACTTGATAGTTATAAATACATTGGTATGTATATTTCAAAGTGTTGCCAGCCATTTTCTTTCATAGAATAAAGAAAACAGTGTGGATAGAATTTTGTTTTGTTGGGCTGGGAAGGTGGCTTAGTGGTAGAATGCTTGCCTTGCATGCATGAGGCCCTGAGTTCAATTCCTCAGCACCACATAAACAGAAAAAGCCAGGAGTGGTGCTGTGGCTCAAGTGGTAGAGTGCTTGCCTTGAGCTGAAGAGCTGAGAGACAGCGCCTAGGCCCAGAGTTCAGGTCCATGACCGGCCAAAAAAAAAAAAAGAAAAGAAAAGAGAAGAATTTTGTTTTGTTGCAAGTATGTATAAGACAAATAAATAATCATAAAGGCTTTCTGCAAATCAAAGTCCACAAGGCCTTGGTAGGTCTCGAACAGATTAGGTCATTTCTAAACTAATGGATAAATAGATGTGTCATTAATAAAAAAAAAAGAAAAGATGCAGATCTGCTTGAACTCAGGGCCTGGGTGCTGTCAGAGAACTTCATTTGCTCAAGGGTAGCCCTCTACCAATTGAGTCACAGTTCCACTTCTGACTTTTTGCTAGCTTATCAGAGATAAGAGTCTCACAGGCTTTCCTGTCCTGGCTTCTTCAGTTCTCAGCCTCCTAAGGGCTAGGATTACAAGCATGAGCCATCCAGTGTGCCCAGCTTTTCCTTTGAATAGTTTTATAGTACCCCACCCATCATTTCCAAACCTGAAAATGATGCACTTTGCTCAAAAGTTCACTCAATTTTCATGGAAATTATGTAGGAATAATTTAAATCTTCTGTCAATATATTATAAAATACATTTTTGGACTATTATAAGCTGATGATGGCCTGAATTATGTGCTTTAAGTTCTGATCTAATATTTAGTGTTCCTTACCTGTGATTCTTTTTAGTAGAATTTGTGAAGCTTCTTAGCCACAAGAAAACTGCATGTTCATTAGTATTGTGAGTTCAAAATAAAAGAAGTTCGGTTAAGAGACAGAGGTTTATCAACACAAACCAAGTAGAGTAGGCAGAATACTTTTTCCTCTTCATTTCTATCACTCTTCATACTCACTCTTTCTTGGGTAAATAGAATTACTTTGGTCCCCTGTGTGTTTGTTTGTGTGTGTGCACACATGTTTGTGTATAATCTGAAGACTGAAAATACATTTTGAATATGTTCAATACTCAATAAATGAACAATTGACATCTGACACATACTTTTTGGTTTCTTCCATCTACTCCACAGTAAAAGGAAATAGAAATCGTATACTTAAAGGGATGTAAGAGATAACGAAGAAAAAGCCAGAGAAGAGATTATGGAAAAATAGAAACAAGACATCTGCGTGCTCTCCTTCATTTGTGATCCTTTCCTCCCATTCTTTGGACCTACTTTGCCAGTAATGATTGGTTTTTCACACCTGGAGAACATAACACCCTGGTGTGAGATTCAGCCTGCAGAATTAAGTGTGAGTATCCAAGCTCTTTATCCATTAGGAGCGGAATTTTCTTCAGTTTAGTCAATTCTTGATCCGTTATGGTGGAGTCAGCTTGCAAGTAATAAGATGTACATACATAATAGGATGTATATACATTCATTGTGTTTCACAGAAGGTGAAGATAGAGGTCACACATAAAACATATTAAAATATGAAAAGAGTGTCCAAGTGTACAACCAGCAAGTTCCCTTTTATGCTGAGTTGCTAGTGTCAGTTCTCTTACCTAAAATGTTTCCAGTTCCTTAGCACTGTATTACCATTACAAACTAATGGCAGCACTGTATTACCATTATAAACTAATGGTATCTATCCATCCATCAATGCAAATCCACATGCATACTTAAAGCTCAGGAATCTGCATTTGGAAAGAGAACATCAACTCCTAACAAAGACTAAAGAAACCACAAACCAAAAACCACAAGAGGTTTGAAATGTCAGGGTCCTAAAAAATTGTCTTCTGAGACTAGCAGTGAAATTAAAGCTGATTTTTTTTAGCAATAAGCATATTGTTTAATCATTTTTATGGTAGATTGGTAATCATCATGGAAGAAACCAGGTCAAGTCATTCATATACCCATAATATGAAAAATAGCATTTAGCACATTGTCTTAATAATTACCATGAATTGAAAGGAAGCTGCTCAGAAATAAACATTGTTTTTCAATTGTAGATATCCAGACTACTATTTTTGGTGATCATGTCTCATCTAGCCACTTGAATTTCACTTCAGGGGTCTTAAATAAATTATAGTGATACCCTCAAATAAATTTAACTTAATTTAGAAAATCAATTGTTCTGTTTTTCTAAATCTGAGCATTCTAAAAGGCCAATCATAAGGAGAAGGAAAATAGACCACACCATCCTTGAATTGTCCTCTGAAACTCAAGTCAACAAATGAATCAGGACCTTGTAGATAGGGAAACTTTGACTAAAGAATACTATAACATGTTTTATCTTCATAGTAGGAAATCTAATTACCTTCTCACATTTGAGCCATTCTACAAATAACTTGTGTCCAGGTACAGAAAAACCAACAATATTTTATTTATAATCTTATTTTAAGCTTTTGAACTACAAATTGGGTTCTAGAGTTGTTTAAAAGTCATGGGTTTTATAGATGCTCATATGTAAATTAATCTGTTGTTTGCTTACTTCTTTTCCCTCCTCTCCACGGAATGGTCCTCCTTGTAAATACAGCACAGCTCATTACACAAAAAATATATGATCTTGCATTTGTTCCTCATTCTTTCTTTAAAAATCTGTTTCTAATATTGCATTCCCCATTGGACTGCTTCATAAGGGTATGAGAGAAAATGAAAAAAAAAAAAGAAAGAAAAGAGAGAGCAAAGGGAGAGGAGACAAAATAGACTGGATCTCACCACTAAAATTCACCATAAAAATCTCAAAGTGTAACAGAATTCTTACAAAATTTCCTAGGCCAGTTCTTTAGGGAATTGAGATCTATGAAAAATATGGCAATCGGGGAAGGGAGGGACGAGATGTGGGAAAATAGTAAATAAGTGCAGCAAAAACAGGTTTTGAGGAATACACATAATTTTGTCTGCTTTAGATCACAATAGAATTTTTAATAAATAAATTTCTTTTCTTTTTTGTTTTTTTTTGTAAAGACACTTTTTTTTTGAAACAGTAGATTTAGCCCAGTCATTTGTGTCATTTTTTTTTAATAAACTGTCTTTTGTGATTGTTTTCTATAACTCTGTAAATGTTTTAGATTTGAGTCTCTTGTACATTGTCTTTCGAGTTCATTCGGATCAATAACGGTTCATGCACTGAACTGTGTATTGAGTTTATTGTGTTCACTGTGGTTGTGTGGTTGAAGGGAGATTTGTAAGAGTTATAGTGATTTAGGTGCTCATGCTCAATGGCAGTCATGGGCAGGTGACTTTCCAGCGGGGCATCCCCGGTGATCTCGTCATCCACGTTAATGATTTCAACAGTCCTCGTGGGAGCATGGTGGTTTTGCCGATGGTGCTGCTTCCTCATCTTGTAGAAAATGACCAGCATCACCGCCGCCATGAGGGTGATGGCCACGAAACACCCAATGATGATTTTAGTGGTCTTCATGACCTCGTCAATTCCTGGGATCCCGCTGTTCAGATCCGTCACTGGGATGGTGAATGTCTTTTCGGTGGACCTTGTGCTCTGTGGCGTGAGAGAGGTGGTCACGTTGGTGGTCTCCCAGTCGACCACTGGAGTGGGGCCCACGTTGGTATCTGTGGTCCGCGCTTCATCCTGAGAAGGTTCCATCGTCTCCACGGTGACGGTGGAGAAGTAGGAGAAGGGAGTGGTGGCGGCCGCGGTCACATTCAGGGTGGCCGAAGCCGTGGTGTTCCCCACAGAATTACTCACCATGCACGTGTACATGCCTGTGTCCTGCAGGGTGACGTTGGTGAAATTCAACGTCCCGTCGCTGAGCACAGCTATCCGCACTTTGTAGGCCCCGTGCGTCATGACTGTCCCGTTGGGAGTAATCCAAGACACAGAGGTCAAGGAGGTCGAAGCCCGGCATTTCAGCTCCGCGGCCATCCCCTCCGTGACGTTGAGGTCAGCCGGGGGCTCCACGATCACAGGAGCATAGCAGGTGAAGTAGTTCTGGTCCAGCTCGCCGATGTATCTCCCCTTCAGATTGGGAGGCGTGTTGCACCGGGCGCAGCAAGCCGTGTTGGAGGGCGCCATGTCTTTGATCCACCAGCTGAGCCACAGGATGTCACAGTTGCAGTTCCACGGGTTGTGGTGCAGGTGTATCCGCTCTAGGTGATGCAAGGGCGTGAAGAGGTCGTGAGGCAGTAATGTGAGATTGTTGTGTGCCAGGTTGATCTCCACCAGCGACTGCAGGTTGTCGAAGGCGTTCCGTTCGATCACTTGAATCTGAGACTGGATCATCCACAGTTTTTGAAGGTGCATCAACCCCTGAAAAGAGCCGGGCCTGATGGCAGACAGATGATTCCCAGACAGGTCTAACTCATCCAGTTTGATGAGTGGTGTGAGGTTAGGGATTTCCCGGAGGTTGCACATGGCCAGGTTCAAGTACCTCAAATTGGACAGGCCTTCAAAGGCACCTTCTGAGATGTACGAAAGCCTCTTCAGTTCCCCTAAGTCTAGTCGGCGCAAAGAAGGGATCCGGTTAAAGGCGTAAGAAGGGATGCTTTCGATGGGGTTGTTTCGCAACCAGAGTTCCTTCAGTTTGGACAAATATACAAAAGCTCCATTGGGGATGGTGGTAAGACGATTGTCAAAGAGTTCCAGGGTGTTGAGGTTCGCCAGACCATTGAAGGCCCCGATTTCAATGGTTCGAATATGGTTCCTACTCAACTGGAGGATTTCCAGGTGCCTCAAGTGCTTGAAGCTGTTCACTTTGATGATCTGGATTTGGTTCTCGTGAAGGTTCAGCAGCCGGGTGTTGGTTGAGATGCCATCTGGGACCTCGCGCAGGTTTTTCCGAACGCAAATTACCTTGCTGAACTGGTTGCTGCAGGAACACACGGAAGGGCAGGTTTGAGCCCTCACCAGACCAGCCACCACTAGAAGTTGAAGAGCCAGCAGCACCACAAGCAGGGGGTCAAATAGGGCCCTGTTAAACCTAGGACCTATCATTATCTGCTGTGGATGTAAGGTCATCTTGTTCAACATTCATAATTTATCTGGTGTTGGTCCTTCTGGAGTTTGAACAATCTGAAAAAAATAAATAAAGTGAGTGTTAGATCTTTAAATCGTTTTCTGGAATAATGCCAGTGATATTTTCTATCTGATAAAGTCATTCTTTGTCAAACCAAGAGACAACAAATGTAATATTCCTGTTGTTGTCTAGAGCCATTCCACTCCAAATGAGCCTGATCTCATCTATAATGTCCCTTGTTGAGCTAATTTATGGAGAAATATTTCTGTAGTCTAAATTACCAGCCATCTACAACCCACATTTCATCAAATATTTAATCATGGAGGAATGGTCCTGATGCAGTATTAACAAAATAAGTATGATCTAAATATATGAGAATATGTGCAATAAAATTCATCATCAGCAATAAGCATGAGCGGCCCATGTTTATAATCCTAGCTACTCAAGAGGCTGAGCTCTGGAGGTTTATGCTTCAAAGCCAGTACAGGCAGAAATGTCCACAAGATTCCATCTCAAAACTACCTAGTATGGAACTGTACTTTAGGTACAGTTCCAAGCAGGTTGTGAAGGAGTCATGCACATAATCCTAGATATTCAAGAGGCTAATATCTAAGAATCAAGGCTCAAGGCCATCCTTGTCAGGAACGTCCATAAGACTCTTATTTCCACCTGACAATGAAAGTGCAAGAAGTTGAGCTTTGGCTCAAGTGGAGAGCAAAAAACCTCAGGGACAGCACCCAGGCTCTGAGTTAAAAGTCCAAGATCTGCACACATGCATGCACGCACACACACAAACATGAGCAGAGCTAGTTTAAGGCCCTGAGTTCAAATCAGGAAAGAAAGAAGGACAGGAAGAAGAAAAGGAAGGAAGGGAGGAAGGAATGAAGAAAGGAAGGAAGGAAGGAAGGAAGGAAGGAAGGAAGGAAGGAAGAAAAGAAGGAAAGGAGGAAAGAAGGAAGGAAGGAAGGAATGGTGGGATAAAGGAAAGGAGGGAGAAAGGGGAAAAAATTAATCATCAGCTTCTCTGTCTATATGAGATTGTCAAAGCACAGAAAATAGGATTAGTATCTGGTTGATATTAGAATATTATTCTCTGTGCTAAGTACTGTGGACTATAAAATTCACAAGCAAACATTTTTCAGAAATGACGGCCTCATGGGGAAGTACAAAATAAAAATATGCCAAGCCATGCTTAAAGGTTCCTAACAACTTTAAATCAGTGATTGTAGCCCATGAAGCAAGAGTAGGCTTTTGTAAACCTGGGTTGTTTTTAATGATTCTGGCTGAACACACGTGAAGCTGCTGCTAATGCTTCCTAATATTGCCTACAGGTTCTACCAAAGGAACAGAGGCACTCATACACCTGTGTGAGAACAGTCCTCTAATATTAGAAGGGTGACCACACCTGAGCATCCTGTTCAGCTAAGCATACCACTTCAGCAGGGAATAACTTGGAGAAGACAGAGAGGAAGAACACACACATGCACACACACACACACACACACACACACACACACACACACACACACACACACACACACCTAGCCAGCCTGATCAATCCTGGTGATCACACCACTGTTGCCTCTCCTTTCTAACGTTTATAACATTCTTTTGACATGGAGACTACTGTCATAATCAGAAGAGAAGTAACATGAGACTCAAAGTTATATTGCCAGTAAGAATACAACTAGAGCTCAGCAGATTGGTCTCTAAGCATACAATTCAAATAATGTCCTCATAAGAAGCCTAGTAGTGTCTCACACCTATGACCCCAGGTACTCAGGAGGCAGAGATCAGAAGAATCAAAGTAGCACAGTGTTATGCCAGCCTGGACAAAAATTCAGAGAGACTCCCATCTCAAGATAAAGTTTTAAAAAAAGTAGGCATTTTGGTATATGGCTGTCATCCCAACTGGACATTAAAATGTAATTCAGACGGTGTGGTCTGTCGTGGTCAAGGATTGGCCAGCAAAAACTCTAGATGCTCAAAATTAACCAAACCATAAAGGGCTAGGTATAGGTCAGAGAATAAAGTATGTGTTTGATAAGTGTGAGGCCCTGGTTCAAAAACCTAACACTTTTGATAAGTTTGATAAGTGTGAGGCCCTGGGTTCAAACCCAACACTACCAGAAACAAGTGATACCACAAAAACAAAGGTAAATGCAAAATATTTTTAACCATTAACTGCTTTAAAATATCTTTTCTTGGGGGGTGACTTCAGCTGTAAACACTGATAAACACTGATAATTGAATTTCTGCTACCTGTGAAGGTGCAATGAACATAGGTGTATATGTGCATAAATTTTCGATATTGTTACATATGACACTTATAACTAAAAAAAAAACACTGGCCAGGTCTTGGTGGCTCATGTCTATAATCCCAGCAACTCAGGAGTCTGAGATCTGAGATCAAGGTTCAAAGCCAGCCAGGGCAGGAAAGTCCATGAGATTCTTATCTCCAATTAACCAACAGAAAACCAGAAGTGGCACAGTGGTTCAAGGTGGTAGAGCAATAGCCTTAGCAAAAGAGCTCAGGCACAGTGTCCAGGTCCTAAGCAAACAAACAAACAAAAATAAAACAAAATCATGGACTGTGAGCAGGCAGGCCATTTGCTAAATCATTTCTTATGAAATATAATTTTTATTTTTTGAAAAATCAACCTAATACCACTATTATACCTGGTGCTCAGACTCTTAAGGATTTTTCAATAAATTAATAGAAAGGAAAGGTCTATTTTTCTAAGATTCTCTCTCTCTGTATATATGTATATGTATGTATATATATATATACTCACACACCTACACATACATATATGTATATATAATATTATATATATAATATTAATGCATATAATATGTCATATAAAATATATATTAAGTACATAATAAAAACCAAGTGAAGGGCATTGCCATTCTTCCTCTTATTTGAGTAACACTAATATATATTTCAACCATGATGCCACTTTTAATTAGATATTATGTTATTTTTTCAAATGTATGCAATTTACTCATATCCATCCTCCATCACTCTGTCTTTACCCCATCCCTATTCACCTCTCTACTCTACTGGATCCTTTCCTTGTCTAGTAGAAACTCTGCTACCTTCATGACTTAAAAAAAAATTCTAGATTTCCACATATGAGAGAAAACATGAATCTCTCTTCATGAATCTGTTTTGTCACAACATGATGATCTCACATTCTACTCACTTTCCTGCAAATAACATTTCTTTCTTCTTTATGGTGGAATAAATTTCTCTTAAATAGCACTGTGGTAATGTCTGCAATGATCAGACACATATTCCTAAAATATATGCAAATATGACACAGTGTTATTAGTTATAGGGTATATATGTCTCTACTTCCTCATCCCTGGGACTAATTTTATCATATAAATCTTGTTTACTTCAAGGTCTTTGTGCTACTTCAATTAACGGGGTTTCTTTATAAGTAATGATGTATATTATAGCTAGTTCAAAGCTAATTTATTACTGACAACAAATAGTACTTTGAACAATGTACTCAATCAAATAAACTTCTATCAATGAAAAGGTTTTCTATTTTAAAATCTAAATCACGTTACTTTATATCAAAGCCTTGCTTCAACATCACTTTCAGAAAACACTTTTATTACGTCAAAAGAAAATCCATTTAAAGGTATGCACTCTCCATTACAATGCCATCTGACAGCATTTACTTACAAATGGATTGGTGTGGGTTTTGAATTAAGTGAGGAGACTTTTAGCCTTGTCCCAGAGGATATCTTGACTTTATCAATAGGCCACTCTTTCTTTCCTACCCATGCTTCAGTGCACTGGTAGCCACGGGGAGACTGAAGAAACTGCATGCAGAAGAATTAGCTATTTATTTATTTTTTGTGCTTTATCTGGCACAATATTCTTGCTGGGTTGGCATAGTCTCTGTCTGTACATTAGAATCCGTTTGGAAGAAGGGTGCAAGAAAGATTTGGTCACCCACAAAGACCCCACATGAGATACACACAGGTATACTCAGCAATCCTTGCCGAACACGGAGAGTCAATCTACCTACATTGCACCTAGACTTCAAAGCACACCTCATCAACTGCATTAATGTGATCCTGGTTGATTCACTCCTTGTGATCATCTCTTCTCTCTTTGGGAGATCTCCAGCCAGAGAAAATGGTTTCCTTGAATCTTACAGAAAATTCTCCTTGGAAAGTTTCTGCAGAGGCACATGAGCTGAGCCATCCAATGTCTCACTTCACCAATCTTGGATTTTTGTACCCTGGTCTTAAGCACTGATAATCAAGATCCCACACTGAGAAAAACAAATCTCAAAATCAAATTTCCCTTGTCAATAAATTATGACCTTCAGCCCTTCACTCACAGAAGTTTGCAAATGCTTGTGAGGTGGTGATCACACTTATGAGTATAAAACACAGCTATCTTTTCAATAGACTGAATCAGAAATTTTCTAAACTCGTTCGCCTACAGAAGGAGGTTTGTTTATTTAAGATGAGCTGTAACCTCAAATATCTTTGTTCTTCCTGCTAAGAGTAGAAGGGATAAAACTGAACTTAATAAAGGTTACATATGGCAAATCTATAGCCAACTTTACATTAAAGGGAGAGAAGTCAGCCACTTCAACAAATGGTCCTGGAAAAATTGAGTATCTACTTGCAAGAGACTGAAACTGGACCTCTCCTTCTCACCCTGTACATACATAAACAGACTCCCACTGGATCAAAGAGCTCAACGTAAGTACTCAGAATTTAAATCTTGTACAGGAAACTGTAAGGAAAACTCTGAAAGGTATTGACACCTGTAATAGAATTCCTGATGGCCAGAGTATGAAAGCAAAACTTGATACATGGAACTATATCTAATTAAGAGTTTCTTCACAGCAAAAGAAACAATCTCAAGATCCAAGAGACAACCCACAGAGTAGAGAAAAATCTTTACCAGCTATTCAATAGATAAAAGATGAATGTAATATATATAAAGAATTTTAAAAATTATATAGCAAGAGGACAATAATTCAGTTGATAAATAGTCAAGGAAGTTGAACCAAGAGTT